AATTTGGAGCTCATGAAAATTTTGCGTAATTCTGATTTGCAGGAATTCCTTTTTCGGTTAAATGTTCATTGTTCTCGGAAATTCTCAATTGATCGTTGAACATTAATCTCTTCTCAGATTTGACATACCGTCAAAGAGCTTCATGGTTTTTAAGGTGCAGCAAACCGTTGATGAAACATACTCCAAAACGTTTATTGAATCTTAACCTCAAGTGCAACTCTTAGAAGAGTGCTAATGAACCGATTTCATTTCAACCCGAGTGATTTTAATATATCCGACTTGAATTGTTCGGTTTACCAGGGGCTGATTTGTCGAGCATAAGAAATCTTGAACATACCCAAAAATAGTTGAACGGAACATGATTGCTTAATGAAATTGAAGAATCGAGCTGATTTTTAATGGGTTTGAGTACCCACTCGTAAGGCATCATATCCCAAAGTGAATGAACGGAACGCACCCAGAATGAATGCAGATTGTTTGTTTAATATTCGCTGAATTCACAATGATTAAAAAAGTGATGCAATCGGCAATGCGCATCGAATCTGCCATCATGGAAAACGCAAACGTTCAATGGGTGATAAAAGAAAATGATTAGCAAAAGCGTTACGATGAATGAGCGGAATGACGATGATGGACAAAAAAGCACTTTTGAAGAATTGAGCAATCGAAAATATATTAGTAGCAGTCTGACGATATTGTGCGAGTAAGTCTGTTTCCACGAAGAGTCGGCGGAGCTTGTTTGGTTTGAATTGAAAAAGTCAACCTACTCAGCATGAAATATTCCTCTGGAGACTGAGTAACGGTCACATAAGCTCTCTTACTACTGGATAGTAAGCTCACCCAGCATTGGATGTTCCAATTTCAGCGAGAGAATTCATTGTGAACGATGTTCGAGATTTGCTTGAAATAATAGCTGTCTAGTGTGAGCGCGATTCGACGTATAACTATTCAAACCTTCATCATCTCCAAACGTAACAATCGAATTTCTTAGCTGATTGTACATTTGACGTCGATCATTCTGTGTAAGAACATGATTGAATTGCACTCTAGGGAAAATAGAATTAACGTTTGATCGCTGAAACTTAGCACATTTCAAAACCAATTCCCTGAATTCATATGCATTCTCCTCAAGACGTGTTTCAGTGAGTATAAGAAAGCAACCCACTCACTATCAGTCAATCAGAAAACGAATTTGCTTATTCCCAATGAGACAATGATGTTCTTTTGCTTTATGATTGTTATTATAGACCGATTGTTGCTGTGATACATTTTTTGGATTGTTACTATGACACATTTTCTGGTTTGCTGCTGCAAATGAGAGTAAGCATGTTCGCTCCATACTCATAATCGCTTTAAGATAAACATGCAGTTTCGTGTTCATATTTTAAAAGCCTGGTGAGGCCGAAAAATAAAGTGGAAGCAGTAAAAAGGAGGATTTCTGCTAGGTTGTTTGCGTCGCATAATTATGTATGTTCTTGGAAAATAGTGCTGTGTCGATAATTATCTAATTGGTCGACTTGAAAACTTTAAGCAACGTGAAAGGAAGTGCTGTGAAGAGCATACAAGAACTTGTATTATAACAGTTCTTTGCTGGAAATCATCGATAATTGACGCTTTCGAGAGTCCTATTGCACGACGACATCCTCGGATAATTAGCGAGCGAACCAAGCTCGGAGAATAGCGCAAAGTGCTTCAATTTTCATTCATTTCATAGTCGATCTTAATTAGCGAAAGGCAGCTCCTCGCAGAATGGAGCAAGAATGCTTCACCAACTCAAGCTCGTTGCAACAAATTGAAGTGAGAGCCAGTTTTGTTTACAGATGCTTCATTTCATCAATGATTCAAGATCATTTGCTTACTTTGAGCTGATCGAATTGCTTCCAGATATTCCTTTCTCCATTCTCATATCTTATCACTGCTTTCAACAATCACGATGTTCTGATCCAGTGTGTTTGCAGACCATTTACTTCGAAATATTTCAGATTTTCCCGTGGAGAACAGTTATTTTAGTTTCATTTACTCTTGTTCCATCTAGGGTAATGCCTCGGACAATCGCATATTCATTCTGTTTTCAGTTGCTTTCATCGGCCGTTCGAGCCTATATGCCTGTTCACGTGTTCGTTTACCAGTTTCTTTGTATCACCGGCGTTTTCGCGAATATTTCAATCATCGTTGTGTTGCTGCGACCGGCGATGAGAAAGAATCCGTTCAACGTATTTCTAACATCGATTGCAGTCTGTGATATGACCTTAATGGCCTTTTACTTCATTTATAAGCGGGTTGGTTTGGAATCTTTTTTTAGTGCTCCTCATATCCATTCGCAAATTCTTCATTATTCACCATCCAACATCTCAAATTACGTGCAGTGAAAGATTATCTTTTTCACACATATTCATATGCCAATTCCCTGTTGGTGCAGTTGGATGATATACGTATTTACTCGTTTGCAAAGTTGCATCAATAAGAAGAAGCTTATCGATCGAAGATTGACATTAGGAGAATGCATAACTAATGAAGGTAATAAATGCCACATGAGCCATATGCAGTGGGCACAAGCGAAAACTGCGATGAATTCTTTGAGATAATGTTTTTATTCGTCGTTTTGCTTGAATGATCCCATTCGATCTATACCTATACCTCAATGACTGAACACATCTCACATCAATGAATTATAAATTCATCCTTCCAAGAAACCAATTCTGCGAGGGATTTAAAACCTACGTGTCACAATCGCATTAAGATGATAGAAAAGCGTTTATTTCTAGGAAGATTAAATGACACCGAAACACTTGACAGAATCATATTGCTACGTAGTCATTGAATTCACAGTGCTAANTTTTGAGCAATTGATAGTTTGTATTCAAGGCATTAGAATTCACCCGAAAAAAATTTATTTATTTAGTTAAAACTAGGCAACGAAGAGGATCGACAGTCGATTGCATGATAAATGGATACATGAAAGAAACAAAATTCAAGAAACTAACATAAAACTTTTAGAACATCGTAAGGAGAATATAAAATGTAATTTAGGAGCAAATTCAATTGGCGTACATTTTGAGCGATGCATTGAATTTATTACTTCAAGATTAAACTGTTTTTGCATCATTTGTCAAATGGAATGCGTTGTTTACAAAATGTTGTGCTCACAACAGCGATGAGAATCGCAATAACTAATGATTCAAATTTATAGCAATTTCACAAACTTCATAACAATCCGGCATGTGCTCTTATAAATAAGCTCATTAAATAGTCATCCAAACAAAGTGTCTCAACGGATCATGCTGAACAGTTATAGACAAAAACAGCACAATTAGCGAAGCCAGTTAACAGAATCACTCGCTTTCCGCATGAACCACGTTCTTGCGTTGTCGTTAAGTTAGGTAGAAGAATTGCTCAAATTGTATTAAGCGCAACGAAACAAGAAGAAATTGTTGACCATTTATTGATTCATATGCAGCGGATCTGTGTTTTATCAAATAAACTCATTAGACTAGCATGCTATATGCGAACAATGTAATTCCGCGAAACAATGCTTATTGNCTGCTGCTGCTGCAATAACAATACGTATGATCTATGAACAGAGCAGCAGCACCGTCAACAAGAAGCAATAAATTACTGATGTTTCGTTTATGTTCTAAGAATTCGTGATGTTTCTCTCTCGAAAGATTTCCTTTTGAGAGCTCGCAACATTGATTCGGACAATGAGTGACGAATCGTGTGAAACATGTCAGAATAAACTTCAATGAGCACGACAAATGTTTTGAAGCGAACGAATAGAATTTAAAGTGGAACTAAAGGGATCATATCACATCATTCCTGTAAACGCCATCGTAAGAACAACGCGAAACTAAGGCAGAAATGCAAATATCAATGATCAATGTTGTAGTGAAGGTTGCTCCACACCTAGATCATTACCAATCCCGATAGGACGCATGATTTCAATGGTGCATTTAGTTGTTTTCAGGTAGAGGTGTGTCATCCGACGTATTTCTCTTATTTCTGGATCGTCTTCACGTATTTGTACGCCATCTTGTCGGTATTTGTGCATTCTGTTTCACTATGGCTCACCGTGAATATGGCCATTCTACGATATCTTGTGCTGAAACGAAGCTCAAACTCGCAGTCAGCTCTGCCGAACGTCAACAGTTTTTCGGCTGCTTTTGTCGCAATTGCGCTCGGCATTTTGATATCATTTATCGGTTCGGCACCAAATATGCTCAGATATGAGGTGAGTGCTTGCACAATGTGCACAATTCGCTTGCCTCAACAAAGTCCTCTTCAGAGAATTCAATAAAAACCAGAGTTTTGCAGCTGTGCAAGGACTCACATTTGGTTGATGTTTGATCCCTCCTCCAAAAAAATGGTTTCAAGCTAATATGTATGTCGAAACTGAACCCTCTTCATTTGCTCTCGACTCTTCA